GAAGAAAGGAAAGCGCCTTTCCGAGAAGGGGAAAGCGACGCGCGTTGTTTGGCACACTAGAGAGGGCGTATGAAGTCGTCCCCAACTACTAGGCATGTGTTGCGTTAGGAAGGGCATACGGCGTGTAGACTATCAGTGTTATTCGAGGAGCGGACAACGGATATCAGGTGCATTGTAGGTGGCTATTTTGGCCAAGTTTGTCGTACGACCTCACCAGAAGGGTAGGGGCGTGGTTGATGATTTGTTTTTGTGCTGCGCAGGGAGGACCTTGTCGAGTCAGCCGAGCGTGGCGTAGAGAGCGAGCCGGGGGCGGTGGTAGATATTGTCTTGCCTTGATGTTGCAGTACGGCCGTTGGAATCTTTCGTGATATGAACGGCGTGAAGGCCTTGAGATTTGTAAGGGGTTTTGATCCGATGGCGGGTTTCCCCTTGTTATCTGATTTGCGTTGTTTTAGGTGCTTTTCGGATGTACTCTTCGACGCACGAGTGGTGGTTATTCGCTGGTGTAAAGAACCAAGGGAGGGTGTTCGTGCGTGGAGGTAGATTAGTCGGATTGTACCAAATCACTGGCGGTTTCGTGTACCGCAGATGGGATTGCCTTGAGGGGCGGCTAGGAGAGACCTTGAGATACGAGTTGCGGGCCCCCTTTCCAACTGGCTTTGGGCCTGGCACTCTTCCTCCCTCCTTTCCCTCATGTCCCCCTACGATAATACATGCCGTTAACAACACTCTTTGGACTCTGGAGGTCACACAACAAGGGCATACCAACATTGGCGACGGCTGCCCAACCACCATGTTGTCCCTAGACCCGTTTTCTTCCTTCTCTCGGCGCCTCTTGAACTTTTTGTACATCCCGCCGACGCAGTCGGGCCGTGTACAGATGCACTCTCCCACCTTGAGAGGGTCTCCACAGAGGTCGCGCTCATGAGGCCACTCTTCCCCTACTAGACTATGGCAAACCACTCGCCCAGCTCCGCCCAATTTTTCCCTGTCTNCTTCCCCTACTAGACTATGGCAAACCACTCGCCCAGCTCCGCCCAATTTTCCCCTGTCTAACGTGCTTTCACCTGCTCGAGCACCCGTCGCGGCTGCCGGGACGTCCACAGACAAAGCACAGGCCTAGCCCCCCTCCTGGCGCTTCTTTGCCATGCACAGATCTCCCACAGGAACCGAGAAAGCCGCGGGTCATCTGGTGCGAACCCCCCAAAACGATCAATTTGACCGTTTTTTTGCTGCTGACCGAATAGACGATTTCGTAGCCGATAGGACGTAATCCCCAGTGAAACAAAGTGCTGGAGAAAGACGAAGTCTTCAGCTATGCAGCCAACACGCTAACAATCGGAACAAGCCCAGCCCCCACTGTTTTGGGCTGCTTGGGTGCGCTGCACCCCTCCAATCCTGGTGTACCGGCTCAACTGAGAGGCAGCTCTGGTTATGCGCCCACAGAGCAAGACTTCGGACAATTCTTGGACCACCCGCTGCATNTAGCCCCCCTCCTGGCGCTTCTTTGCCATGCACAGATCTCCCACAGGAACCGAGAAAGCCGCGGGTCATCTGGTGCGAACCCCCCAAAACGATCAATTTGACCGTTTTTTTGCTGCTGACCGAATAGACGATTTCGTAGCCGATAGGACGTAATCCCCAGTGAAACAAAGTGCTGGAGAAAGACGAAGTCTTCAGCTATGCAGCCAACACGCTAACAATCGGAACAAGCCCAGCCCCCACTGTTTTGGGCTGCTTGGGTGCGCTGCACCCCTCCAATCCTGGTGTACCGGCTCTACTGAGAGGCAGCTCTGGTTAGTCTATGCGCCCAAAGAGCAAGATTTCGGACAATTCTTGGACCACCCGCTGCAGTGCGAGTAGGACAACAGTTCACCGCGGTTGAATGCTGTCTGGCGTGGACCCGTGGCTTATTAGGGATGGTCGTGTGTGATTGTGCGGCTTGCTGTGCCCGGGGCTGTAGGGGGGGGTCCTCGAATCTAAGCATTACTGTCTACGATGACCCGGCGTAGTTTTGTGCAACGGTGCATCCACCACACGTCACGCCTGACGCATCGATTTGTGCCGTTTCTTCTCCTCGACCCTACAGCAGCAAAGATTCTACCGGAAAATCCTCTCCGCGACACTCTCCGTGCTTTGGGTGACCCGCACTAACGAAGAAGGTCGCCAAAAATAATAGCGGAGGAACTTATTTGTCATAACACTCGCAGTGCTGCTGCGCGTGGAAAAAAAAAATCGGACGTACGTAAGCGCCAATTCACACTCTACCATGCTGTACACGCCTACAGCAGAGCCAACCCTTCAAGATNGGACAACAGTTCACCGCGGTTGAATGCTGTCTGGCGTGGACCCGTGGCTTGCTTGGGATGGTCGTGTGGGATGGTTCGCCTTGCTGTGCTCGGGGCTGTGAGGGGGGGGGGGTCCTCTAATCTAAGATTTACTGTCTGCGATGACCCGGCGTAGTTATGTGCAACAGCANTACGGCTGTAGACGCCTCCAATAGCTAGCGATTGGCCCAAGTAGGATGAATTCCATAGACTAGAGCGCTAGAACTCAGCAGTGAAAGATCTCAAGTCGGCCCAAAAAAAATATGCAAAAGCGCACCGGCTAGGCCTGTCCTCCATCGGCCGTTTTGCTCGTATGACGGAGAAAAAGAAGGTGGAATTACTTGAAATTAGTATAGAAATAAAGTTTGTGTATCTAAATCGAAAATAAAACGGCCGATGGAGGACAGGCCTAGCACCGGCCCGCATGGACGCGGCGGAACCTCTACCGAGCCGACGGCACTTTCCTGGCGAACACGAGAACGCGCTGAATACGTTGCCAATTGGCACGAAACNTTAGTATAGAAATAAAGTTTGTGTATCTAAATCGAAAATAAAACGGCCGATGGAGGACAGGCCTGCCCGCATGGACGCGGCGGAACCTCTACCGAGCCGACGGCACTTTCCTGGCGAACACGAGAACGCGCTGAATACGTTGCCAATTGGCACGAAACTTGGCACGAAAGCATACTGCTGTATGGAAAGTAGGATGGCCAAACTTGGCAGTTATGTGTTCCACGTAGCCGGAGGGAGGGACGGATTTGGTTGAAAAACGGCATCCACGCGCAAGCTTCATGCTTAGACTAGGTGTCTCACGACTGTTGACAACGGGATGCCCCGCATCTTGTAGCTGCCTTCTTCATGGTTGTACAGCATCTTGAATTATGTTTCTTCATGCAGTACAAGCCGAGTACGCGTACTCGGTGTGCACCAAAAGTTTGAACTGGAACCCACCTGTGCGGTGTTGTTGCACCGCGAATAAAATGCGGGACAAAAAAAAAAACTGGTGGTGCCAATACGACAGCCCGGACCTCTCTCACCTCTCGTTCGCGATCTTATTTTTTGTCGGCCCCGTTCTGGATGAGTAAGGGCTTGAATAAGCGACAAAAAACACTTNCCCGCATCTTGTAGCTGCCTTCTTCATGGTTGTACAGCATCTTGAATTATTATGTTTCTTCATGCAGTGCAAGCCGAGTACGCGTACTCGGTGTGCACCAAAAGTTTGAACTGGAACCCACCTGTGCGGTGTTGTTGCACCGCGAATGAAATGAGGGACAAAAAAAAAAACTGGTGGTGCCAATACGACAGCCCGGACCTCTCTCACCTCTCGTTCGCGATCTTATTTTTTGTCGGCCCCGTTCTGGATGAGTAAGGGCTTGAATAAGCGACAAAAAACACTTTCGAAAAAGTGCTTTGTGTCCCCGGGGGAAAGCGAAACCTGGCCGATGATACTTCTATACCTTTTGAAAATAACGAAGTAAATGTGCCCGGAAGTTTGTGGGCATACATCGCCTGCTGCCGGGCGCACACCATTGTCGCGTAGAAAGTGTGTGGTAGGGCGACGTCCCGGGCTGTCCACGGAGAGCTTAACGTACGTGTGAACAGGAGTGAACAGGATAATACGGTGGAACGACAACTTCACCGCCGCCGAAGTACACGACGTTACCGTAGAAGCAAGGCCAAATTTTGTCCAATNGGGGAAAGCGAAACCTGGCCGATGATACTTCTATACCTTTTGAAAATAACGAAGTAAATGTGCCCGGAAGTTTGTGGGCATACGTCGCCTGCTGCCGGGCGCACACCATTGTCGCGTAGAAAGTGTGTGGTAGGGCGACGTCCCGGGCTGTCCACGGAGAGCTTAACGTACGTGTGAACAGGAGTGAACAGGATAATACGGTGGAACGACAACTTCACCGCCGCCGAAGTACACGTACGACGTTACCGTAGAAGCAAGGCCAAATTTTTTCCAACGCTTTGATTTGATTGGGTCGACCAGTAGTCCACACTTTCACCAAGCAAGACTACTTCTAACGTCGGCCCAATCGTAAATACAGTCAAATCACTACAACAATCAGCGGCGCCAAAAGTGACAAAAAAAGCAAGACAAACATACAAAACTGACTCCACAACGTCACACCCGCTGGGAAAGATGGTCGAGGTAGACAGCAGTCCTTGCCTCCAAACAACACGGCAGGTTCGTGACCACAAGGAGACAAGTACACAAAATAACTTCACATACACACACAGGTTTCTGCACCACAGGACCCCAGAGCCGAACTATCACGAATGAGATAAAGGCAAGGATTGCAGCAAGGAGGGCTGACGGTGGTGGTGCCACCTATCTATCCAGCTCGTGCGTTTACCACCCACCCCCACTCAAGCACACCCTCCCCACAACCTATTCTCCGAGGTCTCCTCCTTCTCCACCGTAAGGTTACTCGCACAGAGGAACCTGTCGTCGTCACTGCCACCATTCTGTCACACACAAGCAAAAGAAGCAACGGCAAACAACGGGAAGCGCAAGCGGTAAGCATGGGAGTTGGTTCATGTGTATAAAAATCACCTGGGATTTAGGTCGGCGTAATGCGCGCTGTAGTACGTGCTCAAGACATGAAATCGGACCACAAATAAGAAAATCCGTGCCTCACCCCCAATTTGTGGCTGAGAAGTTGGTAGACACAAACGGGAGCAGATACATACCTCAATACGGCTCTCGTACCCTTAGAACGAGTCAGCTCCCGTCGCCCCCCATGGACCTCCGACTCCCCCCTCATCTCCCCACCCTACATCCGGCCCGCCCTCCGACTANTGCATCCACCACACGTCACGCCTGACGCATCGATTTGTGCCGTTTCTTCTTCTCGACCCTACAGCAGCAAAGATTCTACCGGAACGTTCTCTCCGCGACACTCTCCGTGCTCTGGGTGACCCGCACTGACGAAGGAGGTCGCCAACAAAAAAGCGGAGGAACTTGTTTGTCATAACACTGCTCCTCCTGCCCCTGTCCGCTTCGGCTCCTCGGCTACCTCTGTTGCTAGCGCTGCTCTCTCTTCTACACGCCCCGGCTCGTTCTGCTTGTGGGCCATGGGGTGCTCGTCTAGCCGGATCCCCGCACAAAGTCAAGATCAGGTGGAGCCAGTCCCCAGCGGCCTGCCCACACCGGCGACGACAGCGGCGGGAGCAGGGGGTGTGCCGCCCAAGCCAGCACCGACCGAGAGCTCGGGCTTGGACGACCTCGAGCAAACCCGCCCCGACATCAAGACGGTCCTCATCCTCAAGAAGAACCAGAGTTCCATGGAGGGCCGGCAGAACCAGGTACAGGCAATGGCCGGGCGGCGTATGTGTCTTCGGGGAGCATGTTGTTGTGGTTGTTGAAATTCAAGTCAAGGATGATGCGGGGGGTGTTGGGGTTCTGTAGAGTTTTTCACGAGGAAAGCAAGCATCCTCCCGTGTCGTCTGCTGTACAGTACGCACCGGCGCCGGCCTGCCGTTCCTTGCATCTCAATCATGAAAAAAGGGGCCTTTGATTCCGATCTTGCAAGGAGTGCCAGGCAGGCGTTTGCGCGGTTTTGGCATCGGGCACCTCGGAATTGAGACTGCCTTCGCCCCGTTTTTTCCGCATTCGATTCTTCCACACATACCAACTGGTGACCGCGACCGTTCCTCAGAACGGCGAAAATGTGAACATTACTTTCTAAAAATGTGAACAACTGCTGTCTCTGTTGAATCTCTCCGGGTGTGGTTACGGTAGTAGCACCGACGGTAGCGTGCTACCGCGATGTTCGAAGTGGGGGTGGATTGGTGACTTGGGGGGGGGCGGGGGGGGGGCAGTGCCCGTCCATGTTGGAAAGACACTTGTAACAGGGACAAAGGGACTACATGCAGCTGCAAACAAGGGTAGACTAGACACTACAGGAGTATGATAGCATGGACCAGTATCATGCAGAAGAGTTGCCCGTCATAAAGGCGCCCCTCCCAGACGTTGTTTATCGGTTTTGACGCCTTAGAATCTAAGCACCTCGAGAGTAGTTCAGCTCTTATGAATTGTGAGATTAGGAGGCGTTTTATTTCACCTTTTTATATTTCATCAGTATGACCACAACGAATCCATCTCTATCGAAGAGCAGAGTAAAAGTAGATTAGCGATGAATCCATAGTGAAAGTTCTGTTTTTCCACGATTTCCCGAGCAGCACACAGCAGTGATATCATTCACCCTTGATCTTTGCTTGACACTGGAGAATCCGCCGCTTGAATGTATCTGAAAGAGGAGTTCTTACTTCAGAAAGTTACAACCGTGCCCTCCAAGACACGCCGCCAATCATGCATAGTATGATTTTGTTCATCGTATGCAATCGAGTTTGTATTCCACATGCAGTAGGATCACGCAGGCGTACGTCTTGCTTCCGGTACAAGCGGTCTTAAGCCCCATGCTGTGTGCATACAACGCCCTAAGCATTGGAGCCTCGTTGAGAGAACGGGCAGTGAAAGAACACAAGAAGATTTAACCCCCTTCAATTGTTTGGAGGCGGCGGTTCAGGAACACCTTTCTTTGTCTGCGCTGTGCGGGTGGCTGGATCTGATGTTGCTGTCTTCGGTGCCCTTGCCCCCTTGCGTCCCTCTCCCTGACCCGGCGATGGCGTGGTGGGATGGAAATATTCATTATGTTGGCGTGCTTCAACATCGATTCCGGGTGCAACTCTCGTGGAACACGGACCTGTTGTTGGCGCTGCTTGTGACAAAATGGCGTGATGCCGCGCGCTGGCCTATTCTGACCCATGGGGGTCCCGGATGAGTTGGTGCTGGTGCATTTAATCTGCTGGTGCTATATTTTTACTGATGCTGGTGCGATTTAATTCTGCTGATGCCATCAATGCCGCCGATGCTGGTTCTTGGACTTCTTCGATGCAACAGTCGTTGATTCATAACCTGGTTCACGACGAGTTCCGAAGGCGCATCACGGAAGTGTACGACATGAAGTGAGTTGCAACCACACACGCCTGTTCGCCGTTACAGTAGGCAAGCGAAGCGTCCCTTCCAGGCTTTACCTACCTTTTACGGTCTACGATCGTGTACCTGAAGAGTTTCGATCGAGGCAGGTCCGGAAGGATCAAGTCCACTGCGCATGCCTCCTTTCGTGTTTTTTCGGCGGAAGGTGTTTAGCTCCGTGGACGCTTAATCGAGGGATGAGTTCAGTCGCACGCAGTGGTGAATAATGACCCGGGGGCTGCTTTTTTAGGTACGATTGTTATTGTGAGTTGTTGTTGGCATTTGGCTTTTTCCTATGCATAGCATACGATTTCGACTTGCAAGAGAATGGCAGTTTCATGTTGCTATCCATCTCGTCTGTGCTCCCGCTGTCCCGCTTCTATCTCTGCCGCCGTTGCTACTGCTGCTGCTGCTGCTGCTGCTGCTATTGCTGCTTTGTCGGCCAATCGTGGTGATGTCGACGGCTGTTGCGCTGGACGGACGTAACTGGGTTTCGTCACTGGTGATGGTGATGGTGGAACAGCGAAGGGTCTTTGCTTGGGAAGGGCGGCTTCGGGACCGTGCAGACCGTGGTGCACAAGGAGACTCGAAAGAAGTTCGCCCTAAAGGTGGGTGCCGTAAGGCGGGGTCTCGCGTCTCCTGCCGCAAGAGCGGGTCGTGTTCCCTGCCGTAGGACAAGGTTTCGGGTCTCCTGCCATCAGAAAAGGTCGTGTTTCCTGCGGGGGGGTTGGGAAGCTTTCGCGCAACAGGGGATTCGCTACACAGGGGACCGTGACCTGACTATAGAGAGGCTTCGTGATTGGGCGGTTTTCCCGCTTGGGTGGGGGGCGATAGTTAAGTACGGGATTCCCGAATGAAGGTGTGTGGGATGTTGTCACCGCCACTCCAGCAATCAGCGCTGTTTTTATCTGTTGCAATCAGCCTTTGTTGCTCCCTTCCCCTTCTACGGGGGGCTGGCGGTCGGTGAGAGTTGTCTCTGTTGATTGCAATTTTGAGTGAGGGCAGCCATTTTTGATCCCGGGCGGCGTTGGTGGGTCAAAGTCAATTGGCGGTCTGTCTGTTCATCACGGACGTGTTGGCAAGTTGCCCGCTTGACATGATCGTTATTATTAGGTAACTTATCTTGCATAACCGTCCTTTAGTTACGAATGTACTTCGTACGTTGCGGCAAAGCCAAGCTTTGCCGAGTTGGACGGAATGCGTCGCCTTTGAGTGATGTCTATGTACGGCGTATGAACTCGGGCATCAGGCGCCATGTTGGTCGGTGCTTTCGTTGAATACGCCGGGTTCGATTGACGTTCCAAGCGGGAAGGAAGGTCGACCTCGGTGACTGCATGGTTCGAGAGTAATATGGCCTTTGAAGGTTGCCGCTCTCCAATGTCGTAACACTGCATCTTCATCGTTTGAGTGGTTGAATTGTTGCCGCCACGCGTGAAGAGGTAAATGTGTGCTGGAGTATTTCGGTACTATCCCCGGGTGGAGGTCATCATACAAGGTGGGACGCTGGGCTGCTATGAGGAGTGCCTCGATATGAAAGAGTGCGGGCCTGGTTAGCTCGGATCCCCTAAATAAGTGCGATATTCCGGACGTGCCGAGTAAAGCTGATTGAAATAAACTGAACAGCGTGCTTTGTTTGTGCAATCATTTCCCGATGCGATATCAAAGCGATCTGCTCTATGGTTCCATGTTGTTGTAGCTCTATCGAACATCGTACTACATTCTCGAATAGCATCGCGAATCCTTGTACACGATTATTTTTTGCGATCTTTGCATGAGATCCTTGATATGATTACTGCCGTTCGTCGGATCGTTACGCCAGATTGTGTTGTGCACGGGTCCTCTGGTCGTACGTGTATGTTTTTACAATATACTTCTACGTTTGGATGCCCCCGTCCCATGACGAATATTTAATGACGTGTCTCCACCCGACCTTTCCACCCGCTGTTTGATCCCGTCATGCATTTCCTGCGCTACATGCCTAAACCATGAACGACCGTATCTTTGCCATCTACCAACGGCACGCCGGCATGGCCTTGTGTGAACAAAGGCGGTGGAGCTATCTCGGGTGAAGGACGAAAAGAGCCTGAACTTCTTCTTCAGGGAGGTGGAGGTTATGCGGGTGAGTACGATGGTACACTTGAGTTGGCGTTGAGAGGGGGGGCGAGTATCATGCCCTGTTAGCTCTTGGCTTGGCGATACGAGTCGTGCATTTATGATGCAGATAGCGGGCCCGTACTCTTGAGAACTTGGAAGTTGAGAACATCCTGCTCAATGTTGCATCGAAAATAATTGGGGAGTTAATAACTTCTCACGCTCAGTAGTATCGAACAGAAAAACTTTGGTACTGTTTGTGAGGCCGGTTTGTAATTCTTACGCTATTCTTACACCAACTCCGAGCAAAACCAGAGGGTATGAAGTGAGGGCGCTATCTGTACTCGCTGGGATGATCGGGTGTAAATTTGTCCTATCCTTTCGAAAGTAGTAGTCGAATCCGGCGAAAATGCGAGCGTGTTTCTTCTCCCCGACTCTGGTTCCCTTTCGAGGCCCGACGTAACCCATACCACCCCCAAGAATACTGTACCCCAAACCGCGCCAAACCCGACTAAATTCAACGCGCCCCCAACTGGATCCATCCACCGCAGCAACTGGACCACCCCAACATCTGTCGGCTGCACGCCGTGTACCCGACGGTTGAACACCTCTTCATGGTGATGGTGAGTGAGCCAGGCAATCCATGCGTCTAGATGGACATGTTCTTCGCGACTGTTGGGCCCGATGACGTCAATGCGGGGTCCCAGGACATCTCCGTGGCCCAGCTAGCGTCACAACCTTACTGTCGCTTTCGCTCCAGTAGCCTTGGCTAGGATAGTAGGCTTGGTTGTCGTTGGTAATGGGTTGGGTTGGGAGTTGGGGCTACGAACTTCCCTCCCCATTTCACGCATGACGCATGACGCATGACGCTTGATGTCATTGCCAAGGCCATGCTTTCATTGTGCCCTCCATTGCATGGCTGAAAGAACGAGTTTGTCGTCAAACAACTATTATAGCCGTTACCCGCTGCTTTTGATGGTTTGAAGACGATGCGTTTATGTCAGTTTGTGAGTAAAGTTTTCATGTCAGCGAAGGTGCTGTATCCAGGAGTTGAAAACAGCTTTTGTACCTCCCACGAACATCGACTCCTACAGGATCTGTGTGAGGGTGGGGATCTGCTGACGACCTACCACTTCAAGAGCGAGCGGAATGCGGCCAACATTATTCTCAAAGTGACCAACGCCGTGCGGTATATGCACGACAGGAACATCGCGGTGAGTCGCATCATGGCAAGACATCCCATCGCATCGCTTCGCTTCGCATCGCATCGCATCGCATCGCATCGCATCGCATCGCATCGCATCGCATCGCATCGCATCGCATCGCATCGCATCGCATCGCATCGCATCGCATCGCATCGCATCGCATCGCATCGCATCGCATCGCATCGCATCGCATCGCATCGCATCGCATCGCATCGCATCGCATCGCATCGCATCGCATCGCATCGCATCGCATCGCATCGCATCGCATCGCATCGCATCGCATCGCATCGCATCGCATCGCATCGCATCGCATCGCATCGCATCGCATCGCATCGCATCGCATCGCATCGCATCGCATCGCATCGCATCGCATCGCATCGCATCGCATCGCATCGCATCGCATCGCATCGCATCGCATCGCATCGCATCGCATCGCATCGCATCGCATCGCATCGCATCGCATCGCATCGCATCGCATCGCATCGCATCGCATCGCATCGCATCGCATCGCATCGCATCGCATCGCATCGCATCGCATCGCATCGCATCGCATCGCATCGCATCGCATCGCATCGCATCGCATCGCATCGCATCGCATCGCATCGCATCGCATCGCATCGCATCGCATCGCATCGCATCGCATCGCATCGCATCGCATCATTGCATGAGTGGGCGTTGAGCTCTGTCTTCCAGAGGCATGTCGTCTTCCTGCCCATGGCGGTACGGCAGTACCACCCGACGTTGTCACATAAGTGCGCTCAAACCACGACATCTTGCGCTGGTTGCTGCTTCTTCTTTACAAGGGTTTCCGCTTGAAAATCATGTGTTCATTTATTCAGTATATGTGCAACAGGCAACCATCACCAATTAACAAATATTGAAATTGTGGCGTTGTAGATTGATCAAAGGCCAGCCACAAGTACAGTGTACATGTTTTTTTTTCCGCTTGGCTTGTTTCCCGAAGTCCTTTTTTGTCTACTCATCTCTCGTGGGTGGTGTCATGGGTGACGTTTCGTGTTGTATTCACGCGGCGGCGGGGCGGTGGTGTTTTGGCGTGTGTCTGTCCGTCGATTGTCCGTGTCCAGCATCGCGACCTGAAGCTGGACAACATTTTGACAGACGAGACCAAGGAAGGGGCGGACGTTAAGCTCGTCGACTTCGGGCTGTCGGCACACTTCAAGGACTTCCAGCTAGAGCACGACGTCGTCGGCACCTGGGTGAGTTGGCTGCCCCTTTTCCTGATAGTGGCCCTGATAATGGGAAAATCACGCGCTGATGGTTGATGTGGACTTTCCCAACCGAATGGTGGGCCGACCCATGGCCATATGATTCCGCGGGTAACTTGCGAGCGAGCAAAAAAATGTGCGACGGTCTCCGCCCAGTAGCTCTCTGCCACATGGAGGAAATCCTGCAACATATGGTTTTGATGCGACTCGCTTTCCCGCCGATTTGTTGTTGGGAAATCGGAAGATTACTTAATATTCAAGCCAATGATGTACGACGGTTCCCCTCCTCCAGAGCAGTCTACCTCAAGGGAAAAAACTGGTAGTTTAATGGTTTTGATGACACTTGTTTTCCCGCCAAAATTTCCTTGGAAAATTCTCGGGAATTTCCTTGGAATATGATTCACCTTGTCGATCGCTTTTGGTGGCGGCCAATGTGGTGTGATGAGGCAGGCAATCGATGGCGCTCTTGTCCCAACTTTTGGGGTTTTGTGAGAGATAGCAGCTACTTCGGGCTGTTACAGCTACAATATATATAGAGTCCGGCATCGCCAGCACCTCGGCGGGCTATTGCTTGGGTTCTCCCTCCTAACTTTTTTTCCTCTCCAGACTCGGGGGCGAAATCACCGCCAAAAATATATGTATTGTTGTGTTTTGGAATTCCCAAAAATCGAGCCGTGATGAAGCGAAAGAAGTGGACTTGGTCCCAGAAACCAGAACCGATCCAAACTCCGCTACAGCACCGCATCAGAGCCAAGCCAAGCCGAACCGAACCAATTGAGACGTGAGAATGGCGACCGTTTGTGAACCGAAGGTGTACATGGCCCCCGAGGTTATCAGCGGCTCCCACTTCCCGCGGACGTGCGACATGTGGAGCATCGGTGTCATCGCCTACCTGCTGCTGTGCGGATACCCGCCCTTCGGAGGGACCAGCACTGCCGAGCTTAAGGACCAAATCCAGGTGGGACTCAGTTCTGTAGCATGTTGGTGGTTTGGTGCAGTTGGAGTTTTGGTGGTGATGTTTCGGTGTATTTTTTGGGTTTGATGTTGTCGTTGTCCAACGTTCACGTGTAAATGGCTAGTCATGGTAGAACGATGGGTTGCCGCCTCGTCACGCATCGAACAACAACATGCTGTTTCCTGCGGGCCGTTTCCGTGTATTTTTCCCTCTCCATGTGTTTCTCTTGCTCCTCTCGTCGTGGTGATGACAGCCCTCGTGGACGCACATTCTCGTATCACAGTGTTGTTTTGTGCTGTTGCTTGCTTCGTGCTATGGGCTCTTGATTCCCACCTGGTACTAGTGCAGAACGTTTGTCTCACTTTGCCCTCGTGTTCTCTTTCGGACTATCGTCTCCTCTTTCCCATTGGCGTACGTCGTGGCACTATTCGCTTGAGTCTCCCGAGCACGGCCTGCTCTTGCTAATTTTGTTCTGCAATCTCTCATCGGTATATATCTCTCTTGTCATGTACCCCCCCCCTTTCTCTCCCTCCCTCTCCGTACCTGTGTGTCTGACTCTCTCTCTCTCCCTCCCTCCCTCCCCCCCCCCC